CTCTCCCTCTCTCTCTCTCTTTTTTCACTCTCTCTCTCTTATACTAGCAAAAATAAAAAATACCTGTCCAAAAACACAATCACCATATACACATAACTAACCCATTTATAAATACGTACATGCATACAAACATACACACACACATATATACACGCAGATACAGACATACAAACAAACACATACACACACATACATACATACACGCAGATACAGACATACAAACAAACACATACACACACATACATATACGCAGATACAGAAATACAAACAAACAAACAAACAAACCTACATACATACACGCAGATACAGACATACAAACAAACACATACACACACATACATACACGCAGACACAGACATACAAACAATCACATACACAAACAAACCTACATACATACATACCGCACCATACAAAAGTATGTACCTCTTTTAATTGGGCCTAGGTACTAATACACAATACCTATCATTATAAGCACAATAGAAAAGCTATATATAAATCATCGTTAAAAAATCATTATCATCATCGTTATAAAATCATTATCATCATCTTCATTGCTACAATATCATTATCATCACCATCATCATTATCATCATCATCATCATCAGGATGGTTAAAACATCTAACAATACACACATATCACCATCATCATCATCACCATGGTGGTTAGAACATCATCATCATCATCATCGTTATAAAATCACTATCATCTTCAGAACCTAGTCGACTAATACAATCACTACTGCTGCTAAAACTACGGCTACTACTGCTGCTACTACAACTACTGCTACTACTACAACTACCGCTACTACAACCACCGCTACAAAAACTACTGCTACTACAACTACTACTACTGCTACTACCACTGCTACTACAACTACTTTTGTGGCTATAAACATCAACCACCACCTCAGCATTATCATATCTTTATATCGTTATTTATAGACATATGTTGCTATTTTTGTGGTTGTTGTTGTTGTGGTTGTTGTGGTTTTAACTTCGGTATTGTTGAAACGCGTGATAATTTCTTCCTAATCAACGATTTGGTGTATATAAACAAACATCAACAATATCAACTACAACATCAACTACAACTTCAACAACAGCAACTACAACATCAACAACAACATCAACAACAACTACTACTACAACATCAACAACAACTACAACATCAACAACAACATCAAAAACATCAACAACAACTACAACTACAACATTAACAACAATAGCAACAACATCAACAACAATAGCAACAACAACATCAACAACAAGTTAGTGTTTTAAGTTAGATTTTATTGTCTTCGTCGTAATCAGCAATGCATTAAAAGTAATCCATACATACCGCCTCCCTATATGTATGTACAGTCTTGTTGATGTTGTTGTTGATGTTTATGATGTTGTCAACAATGTTGCCGATGTTGTCAACAATATTGCCGATGTTGTCAACAATGTGTTGATGTTGTAAACAATGTTGCTGGTGTTGTAAACAATGTTGTTGGTGTTGTTAGCAATGTTTTTGATGTTGTCAACAAAGTTGTTGCTGTTTCAAACAATTGGTGTTGTTAGCAATGTTTTTGATGTTGTCAACAAAGTTGTTGCTGTTTCAAACAATGTTGTTGGTGTTGTAAACATTGTGTTGATGTTGCCAACAAAGTTGTTGATGTTGTAAACAATGTTGCTGATGTTGTCAACAAAGTTGTTTTTGCTCTAACTGCTGATTATGAAGTTTCCGATGTTAATGTTACTGAGGTTTTATGTGTGTTTGCCCTAATCTTTTTGACACTAGTATAATTACTACAATTGCCACATTACAACCTACAATCTCTACGCCAAAGCATCAGCCAAACAACAATAACGACATTAAAAACAACAACTCGAACGGTGACGCCAATAACACTAACGCAATTACAATACAGCTGATAAGAAATACATCTACCTCTCTAAAATTTTAAGCCATACATTTGAGATTTTTTGACATTTAAAATCCATGCAAGACTTCAAACACACATTTGTTCTTGTCATGCTAGAGTATTCTTGAAAAATTACAATTTGATGATTAGTAACACTACTACTACTACTACTACTACGACTACTACTACTACTGCTACTACTACTACTACTACGACTACTACTACTACTGCTACTACTATTACCACTATTACTACTACTACCACTACTACTACTACTATAGCAATAATAATAATAATAATAATAATAATAATAATAATAATAATAATAATAATAATAATAATGACAATAATAAAACCAAAACCATACCTAAATCAACTTTCCATCCAATAACTCCATGTACAATAAATTTGACTATCCATATATTTATTATATATATAATCCGTTTACGATTACCAATAATTAATGAATAATTTTAAAAATAATTACTAAGATTGACAAGATTATTAATAATAAAAATTATTTTTACTATAATAATAATTATTATTATAATTATTATTAATATTATTATTACTCTATTAAACAAAAACACAAAACAACGACGAAAGAGCCCCTTTAAAATGCAACGCGACAAATTTTTCAATATGCTTATAGGCAATTGTCATCAACATACGTACATACATACATACATACATACATACATACATACATACATACATACATACATACATACATACATACATGCATACATACATACATACATACACACATTTATATGCATGCCATATACACGTGTGACAGTGATGCTCTAACTGAATATGCTGTTGTTTGGAGATTATGTATGTATGTATGTAAGTATGTATGTATGTATGTATCTATGTTTGTTTGTTTGTTTGTTTGTTTGTTTGTTCTTATGTATATCTAAATCCCTAACTCCAATACTTTTCCACACACAGGAATGAAGTGGTGATGCATTTAAAAAAAATTTCTTTTTCTCATTTAAAATCGATAATAATAATCGGAGAAAAAATTGAAAATCTAAACAACAATAACAATAATACTGAATAATAATAATTATTATAATAATAATAATAATAACAATAGCAATAATAATAACAATAATAATAGCAATAACAATAATAACAATAATAATAATAACAATAATAATAATAATAGTTGTTATTCGCCGTCCATATAACAAAACATCTGTCCCGCAATATTCTGAATTGATAGCGAACACTGATGACGATGATGATGATAACGATGTCAAACATATAGATGATGATGATGATGATGATGATGATGGTGGTGACGATGATGATGGTGACGATGATGATGATGATGATGACTACTAATACCATTACAATTACGACAATATTGAAAAAGTTGGTAAAACTGACTGCCTTTGCAATGATGATGATGATCGTGGTGGTTGTGATGATGATGATGGGTGTGGTGGTGATGATGATGTTTCTAATGACCGATAACATTCAATCAGACGTCTGACCGAATGACAGCTCTGATCAAACTCATCAAAAGACATCCCTTCAACATTCATGTAGTGATGTACGTGCGCCTGTGTGTATTTGAATGTGTGCGTGTGCGTGTGTGTGTGTGTGTAATTATAATTAATTAGGTGTTATTATTATTATTATTTGCCATAATGTTAAAATTTAATCGTCCTAAGTTCGACGTTATTCCTACAATTAACATACTAACTAGCAATCGCTTGATTAGCATAATTCTCATTATCATAATTTATTCATAAGTTACTATTAATTCACTTATTCCTTGGATTGTTTATTCGTTCATGCGTTCGTTCATGCACTCGTTCATTCATTAATTCATTCATTTGTTCATTCATTGGTTCATTCATTGGTTCATTCATTGGTTCATTCATTGGTTCATTCATTGGTTCATTCATTGGTTCGTTCACGCGTTCGTTTGTTCATTCATTGGTTCGTTCATTCGAGCACAAACTCAAACCTTCCTTGTGTATAACTTTAAAAATCTGCCGTTCATATCTTGGAAGTTTTTCCATAGAGAGCTGTTGTTGGAGAGAGAGAGGAGAGAGTGAGAGAAGTGAGGAGGTGGAGTGGAGCAAAGACCTGGATGAATGAATGAATGAATGAATGAATGAATGAATGAATGAATGAATGAATGAACGAACGAATAAATGAATGAAAGAATGGGCGAGTGAATGAATAAACTAGCCAGTCTTCCATCCATCTTGGTTCCAGTGCACAAACTTTAGTGTCTTCTTTAATCTTTTGTTTTCAAAATACAATCATCATCATCATGACCAACATCATGATTATCATCATCATGACCATCATCATCATCACCGTCGTCATTATCATCATCATCATCGTCATCATCATCACACTGACCTATCTACATTTCTTCTGATGTCAGAAAGTTCGACCCTGCCCCGGACCAAGAGGGCGCAGGCCATGAAGACCCCAGTTCTCGGGTCAGAGGTCATCATCTGGTGGTCAGGCGAGTAAGCCTCAGTGAACATGCTGTCCAATCTTGATGATGATGCGGATGATGATGATGATGATGATGGTGTTGATGATGATGATGTGAGATAACCGCCACCATTGGCGTAATCATCACCTCTTAGCACTTCCGGTTTCGTCAGAGGAGTTTAAAAGTGGACTCTGCGATGAGAGGATGAAGTGCATGGTCGGGTAGGGAACGAGATTCATCGTGATCTCGTTTAGATCAACATTCAGACTTCCGTCAAATCTGGAGGAGCTGTGAAGATAATGATGATGATGGCGAAGATGATGACGACGATGATGATGACAATGATGACGATGTTGATCATTACCACCATCATCATTAACGCTCACCTAGTCAAATTCAAAATCATATTGGCCACTATGTTATTCATCTCATCAAACGCCAGGCCACCATCTTTACCACCATCACCACAGCCACGTCTAGTGGCTGACGATGACGACGACGATGATAATGACGTCATTTTTGACGACGACGATGATGATGATGTCAGTAGCGATGATGATGATGATTGCGGTTTCTTCCCGTACCTACTCGCTAGCTTGTTGCTACTACTGCTTATCTTCGTAACGATATTGCTCAAGGCCTTATAATTTATTACAAGTATCATAATTATCATTAACAATTATTATAATATATATTGTTTTTATTATTATTATTATTATGACCTGATTTTCAATCGGAAGTACGCAGTCGGCGTGGTCGGTCAGGTGACTGAGAGCCAAGATGGCGTTGTACGGTGAGGTGATGACGTCATCGTCCTGGGATGGAAAGATGGGAATGACGAATCTGGATCGACGAAATAAAAGAATGAAATTATCTATTCATTCATCCTTTCACTCTTTCACTCTTTCATTCATTTACTTTGTTTTATTTCAATTCTTTCGTCCATTGTTTAATTTATATTGTTTCACTACACATCAATCAAGCAACTCAATAATTAACTTAAAAACTCTGATTTTTTTCTTATTTATTCGTTCGTTAGTTCTTTCTTTCATTCATTCATTCATTCAGTCATTCGTCCATTCATTCATTTGTTCGTTCGTTCGTTCGTTTGTTCGTTCGTTCGTTCCTTCATTCATTCATTCATTCCCTCATTCATTCATTCATTCATTCATTCATTTATTCATTCACTCATTCACTCACTCACTCTCACCTATAGACATCCTGATAATCGTCCTCCAACTGTTTCAATATGTAAGTTCCTAGACCGGATCCTGTACCTAAAAATAATAATGACAATAATAAAAATAACCAGTGACGTCATAATTATATTATAATACAATTATAATTATTATTATAATTATTATATTAAGAACCTCCACCCATTGAGTGAAGCATAAAAAAGCACTGCAGACAGTCGCAGGTTTCAACGGCTCTTCTCACACAGTCCCTTAAGTCTTCATCGTGCTTGCCGCCATATTCAAAATGGCCGACGGCCCTATTTGATTGGTTGATGGATTGATTGGTTGGTTGGTTGGTTGGTTGGTTATTTGGTTGGTTGATTGGTTGGTTGGTTGGTTGGTTGATTGGTTGGTTGGTTGGTTGATTTGTTGGTTGATTGGTTGGTTGGTTGGTAGATTGGTTGGTTGATTGGTTGTTTGATTGGTTGATTGGTTGGTTGGTTGATTGGTTGGTTGATTTTTTGGTTGATTGGTTGGTTGGTTGGATGGTTGATTTGTTGAAATATTCAACCAAGTAGTCATTCATTACGTTGGGTCCTTCGATCAGTTGTAGTAAAAGCTGCAGCAGTAGTAGTTTTCATTCATTAATTCAAAAGTCAAAAAATCAATCATTTGTTCAATCCATTGGTCATTCCTTCATTCATTTCTGCATTTATCGGTTTATTCACTCATTCAATCCACAAACCAATTATTTCCAGATCCGGAAAAATCCTTAATGAGTTGTTGGTGTTTAAAAATCGATCCCATGTTACTCTTCGTCATCCCATCGACCACACCTTCTTCCATATCCACAAGAACTGCCTGGATGAATGAATGAATGAAAAAATGGATGGATAAATAGATAGTTGAAGGAATGAATGGATAGATTGATGAATGAATGCAACAATCATAATCAATACCAACTCTAGCTTTTAACGTTGTCTGACCTCTTTCATTATCAACTTGCTCAAAAAAACTATTCACTGAATCAACTGAACTTGTCTTCTGACAAAATAATTGAAACAAAATAAACGTAATATTAATTACGGATATAATTATCAATTATAATTATATTAATAGTATTTATTTAGTAATATTATAAGGCTACTGACTTTAGTGCACAAAGTTTTATGTTCTTTCAAAGCCAAATCCCAAAATCTAGCCCCAATCTGATTGCCACACTGACCGACTTTTGGAATTGGAGAAAAATTAGTTTGGTAAAAATTGAAATCAGTTAGGCAGGGAATAAGAAAAATGTGAAAATTTCGGAAATATTACACTTAAAAAAATAAATATTACGGTATCAGAGTACAAACATGTGTAAATATGGTAGATTATTTATTTATAATTAAAAATTATTTCATAATAATAACGACAAATAAAATCTTAAACTCATTGGGACATGTGTTTGTGCAGTTTGTTTACCATAGTAACCACCTTGCTAATTCGAAATATTCAACTAAAATCGTCATTATTCATGAATATTTTATTGAATTAACCTTGAATGACAATTGATTGAGTCATTAAAATAATTTAATTTGATTTAATTCAATAAAATCCGGAGTATTTTGACGACGAGAATAACAGGAAATTTAAATCAAATTTCAAATTGTGAGAACACCTGCAAAGGTGTTATCTAAAAATTAACTTAACTTTTAAAAGTCATAAAATGCCAAGATTTTATTTTAATAAGTTTTTATTTATAAAAATACACATAATTAATATTAACTAGAATAAATATATAACGGCTTTCGCTTATTTTTAACGATGCTTAAAACATTGTAGTAATTCTATTTAATTCTATTCAATAGAATTATTTATTATTAAATTATATCTATTAATTTGAATATAAAAATTGCTTTCGGTCCGGTGAAATCCGGTGGCTTACTGAAGCCGAAGGTTGGCTTACTAGGATTGAACTATAGTCACCTTTTTTTGCACTATTCGATCATGTTAAAAATTTGTTTGCTTATGAAATTAACGGCCTAAATAGATCAAAATTGTTATTTGAACAACTATCTTCTTTATATTCAATGAATATTTTACATTCTGCTGGTGCTCATAGAAACTGGTTGCTGAAATCATACGTTGGCTTACTGCAGTGGCTTACAGGGTTTCATAGAACTCTTAGGATAGCGGTTTTTTGTACATATAAAGCTTTAAATAAATCAATATATTCATATCACAATTATTTTTGTCAATATAAATATAGAAATTGCTTTTGTCTGGGCTTACTGAAGCCATAGGTGGCTTAATCGGATTTTTATTTTCGTGTATATTTTCTATGAGATCAATCAATCAATCAATCAATCAATCAATCAATCAATCAATCAATCAATCAATCAATCAATCAATCAATCAATCAATCAATCAATCAATCAATCAATCAATCAATCAATCAATCAATCAATCAATCAATCAATCAATCAATCAATCAATCAATCAATCAATCAATCAATCAATCAATCAATCAATCAATCAATCAATCAATCAATCAATCAATCAATCAATCAATCAATCAATCAATCAATCAATCAAATCAATCAACCAACCAACCAATCAACCAACCAACCAACCAACTAATCATTCAATCAACTAATCAACCAACCAATCGACCAATCAACCAAATTGAATGAACCAAATAAACGAAAATAAATATATAAAAAAAAATGTTTTCAAGGCTTGTTCAAACTCGAACACTTAACAGTACATATCTACAAACAATTTCTAGATTTTAGTAAAGAAAGACAAACACAATAGTTGCTTTTATTTGAAATCATTCAAAAATGAAGTGACGGTTAATTAAAATTTTAAAAACGTCAATTTTTTTTAAAATTCGTATTTTAAACTAACAAATATAACAAAATATCGACCGATGAAAAATAATTATTATCCATTATTATTAAACACACTCCTTAGTAGTTCTCGGAGAATGATTCACGCAACATGAACATTTAGTAAGGACAGTTCTCAGCATAACATAATGACTAAATCAACATACCAAACAGTAATTATTTATACATGCATATATACAAAATAAATCAAGAAATATTCAAAAATTATATAACCATATTAAAAAAAACTAGAAACCAGTCAACATTTAATAAATAAATAGACATTATTAAAAAGACTGTTCAAAAAGGTACAATTTAAGGCGACGACGAGAATGAAATGTAGTTTGTGTTGTCGGTGTGGTGTTGTGAAGCGAAAACAAACAAACACATCATAAAAAACTTGTAAGAAGTCGCAAGAATAGTAATCAGTCACCTACCTACAATTAAATTACTCTCAGGGCCCTAGCTTACTTATAATCATTAACTCAACTCACCTACCTACAAATTTGTATTTCTACGTTTTAGAAATTTTAAACGTTTCAGGTATTTTATTTTACAAATTTTAGCGTTTTTATTTTACTTTAAACTTTTTAACTAATGTTAAGCCCTAGCCTACCTACGATTGTTTAACTCATCTCAATCCCTAACTTACCTATGAATTAAATTAAGTCCGGTAAAGAAAATAGATAGTTGAAGAGAAACATAACAACGACACCGAATGAATGGATGTTGTGTATGTGTGTGTTGTATTGATGTATGTGTGTTTAAGTGTGCGCACGTGTACTCTCCAGACACTTCTTATTGTCATCTTCGAATTATCATCGGAACGATCATCATGAGACCACCGTCTGAAACGTGCTGACGCCCACCACAACCCACCTCTCATCATTCTGTAGACAAATTTTTTTATTAGCGTAGTAGTAAATGAATGTTAGAATCTTTGAAGAATAATTATATAATGAAAATAATGGCGAATAAATAATATTTTAAAATAATAAAGAGAGTAAAATGTAAAAAAAACTCACTTTCGTCCATTCGACAAAGGCAAAATGTTGAAAGCCTGAGTGAGTGAATGAATTAATTAATTAAGTAATCAATCATTGTTTCAATGATTAAAAAAATAAATTAATGGAAAAATAATTTGAAAGATTGAGTGATAAAACGAATGAATGAATGAATGAATGAATGAATGAATGAATGGAATGAATGAATGAATGAATAAAATTAAAAAATGAAACTAAACCTTACTTCAAAAATCGTCGTTACTGTACTCCATTGCACCGACCACCATCATCTGGTCAGCACACAAGATTTCATCCGAACTTCAGAGTGTTAGTCGAACAGCCAACGAGCTGATTCTTTATACACCACCATCCTCATACGTAAATCATCATGAGACCACCATCTGAAACGTGCTGACGCCCACCACTGCCCACCTCTCATCATTCTGTAGACAAATTTTTTTATTTGCGTAGTAGTAAATGAATGTTAGAATCTTAGAAGAAAAAAAAATATAAAATGAAAATAATGTCAAATAAATAATATTTTAAATTAATAAAGAGATTAAAATGTAAAAAAAAAACTTACCGTCGTCCATTCGACAAAGGCAGAATGTTGAATGCGGTCCGGTTCCTACGTTGTCCTCCGAAACTGGTGCCAGTCCTCCTCGATATTGTTGTTGGAACACAGCCCGTGTTGATGGAGAAAGATAAAGAGAAGATTCTCATCAGAAAGCTTAGCGTTGCCTGCGTCTCAAATTGCCTAATAAAAATAATCCTATCTACCTATTCAATTACCTTAACTAATCTATGAATTAATGGTACGATAGTCGAAAGTCCCCCTTCATTCTCCCTCCTTGCACAGAGGTTCACCGACAGCCAGGGCACCGGATAGTAAACCATTGCCGTGCGGATAGTAGACTATTGCCGTGCGGATAGTAAACCATTTGCCGTCCGGAAGCCGTGCGGGTAGTAGACTATGGCCGTGCCGCATAGTAAATCATTACCGTGCAGATAGTAAACCATTGCCGTCCGGATAGTAAACCATTGCCGGTTCACCACTGGCCACCAAGGCTTACCTCTGACAAGGGACTTTGAAATTCAGAGTCTATCGGCTATCGTACCCTCAACTTACCTATTCATTACAATTAAGCCCTAGCTTACCTAAAAATTACAAAACTCAAGAGCCCAATTCATTGGCCAATCGGCACCCACCCCACCACCTACGTAATGCCTTGGGCTCCAACTTAGTAATAATAATATAAAACTTAAACCCTAAATCTATTAATGAGTATGTGTTACAACGTAGCCTTAACTTACCTATTCATTACATTATGGTCCTAGCTTACCTAAAATTACAAAACTCAAGAGCCCAATTCATTGGCCTTTCGGCACCCACCCCACCACCTACGTAATGCCTTGGGCTCCAACATAATAATAATAATATAAAACTTAATAATTAACCTACCTATTGATACACTTACAGCGTTTTAATTTACATTACAAGATTGTTCCTAGAATTACATTATTGCCCTTAACTACCTATGAAATTAAATTACTCTCAACCTTAGTAATAATAAATTAGAATGTGTAATGAAAATAAAATTACGCTCAAATACTAACATATGTGTTTATGTATGCAATTGTGTGTGTGTGTGTGTGTGTGCGTGTAATACGCTGATGCGTGTAATGTGGGTGCAAGAAAAAATAGAAGCGATAAACTTACGCGCCTACCTATTCAACTACATTAGTGTTGGATGCTTCCTATCTATCCTACCTACAATTAAAATTATGCCTATCTAACCTACCTATATAGCTACTTAATGTAATTGTGTGTGTATGTGTGTGCGTGTATGCATTCCTACTTAATGTTAAATTACAGAGAAAAAAAGAATAAAACGTATCCCAGCCAGGCGTGTATTCTTTGCCACTGAATGAACGAACGTAGCCTGACATCTTCCATGATGAGCTCCTCTGGAAGCTTCAACCTGAATGAAATGAATAAAATGAAAAAAACTTATTTAAATTAATATAAATGAAAATTGAAAAACGAGCCGCGGTGAAACCCGCCATCAGAAAAAGCCAGCCAACTGGCAAAGAAAGGAACCGCAAAGAAACCGTAAAACGTACCCCTGTCAGGCGTCCATTCTTTGCCACTGAATGAACGAACGTAGCGTGACATCACAACCATTCTGATCTTTTACGATGAACTCCTCTGGAAGCTTCAACCTGAATGAATGAACCTGAATGAACCTGAATGAACCTAAATGGAAAAATTATTTATTTAATCAATTAAAATGAAAATAGAGAAACGCAAAGAAGCCGACCGGTCGGCAAAGAAAAGAACCTCAAAGAAAGGTATCTATATAGGATTTATGCTCTATATAACTCTATATAACTCTATATAACTCTATATAACTCTATATAACTCTATATAACTCTATATAACTCTATATAACTCTATATAACTCTATATAACTCTATATAACTCTATATAACTCTATATAACTCTATATAACTCTATATAACTCTATATAACTCTATATAACTCTATATAACTCTATATAACTCTATATAACTCTATATAACTCTATATAACTCTATATAACTCTATATAACTCTATATAACTCTATATAACTCTATATAACTCTATATAACTCTATATAACTCTATATAACTCTATATAACTCTATATAACTCTATATAACTCTATATAACTCTATATAACTCTATATAACTCTATATAACTCTATATAACTCTATATAACTCTATATAACTCTATATAACTCTATATAACTCTATATAACTCTATATAACTCTATATAACTCTATATAACTCTATATAACTCTATATAACTCTATATAAC